GGGGGTAGAGGGAGCCAATGGCTAGGGCTCCGGAGGGGTCAATGGAGCCAATGGCTAGGGCTCCAGAAGGGCCAATCATGCCAATGGCTAGGGCTATCCAGTTGTTTGTGACACTCACAGAATCACACCGAAGTAAGGCTGGAAGAGACCTTGAGAGATCATCTAGTCCAACCCAGATAACGCTTTGCCAAACCAGCCTATACAAATCCATTCTCTAACCTCACAGCAAGCCACTCAGTCATGAGTAGTGGCCAAAAACCATGCAGCTAGAAGAAAAAATATATGGCAGACACTGGTGCCTATTCATGAAAAATAGCAGGAAATCTATCACTTTCTCCAGTGTCCCGTGGGAGTGTTACATGCAAGATGCTGTTTCCAGACCTGCCTCTCCAAGACCTGTCAGCCTATACCATGGGCCCAAGTTTCCATTGAACTGCAGCATGCCACCTTATTTCTAGCTTGCTGTGTAACTACTGGCTTTGCAGAAAAAAAATGTGGCAAGCAGCAGTGACTGGTACCTCGTGAGTCGGGGGTGGGCGGCACAATTTGTGGGCGGGCCTGGGGGTGGGCCAAAAGCCACATATGTGCTCCTATACTTCTGTGCCATGGCTTAGTGCCCGCCCCCCCCCCAACATACACCTAGCCCATGCAGCAAAAAAACTGCCTTGCGTCCTGAGCAGTACCAAGTTGGGGGCCAATCTCGGGGGGGGAGGGCATGTGTTTCCCCTACCAGTCATCTACGCTGGCAAGGTTTGCCAGAAGGAATGCAATCTGCACAGTACGTTCTGCAAAAGAGCCCAAAGCCTTTAGTCAACTGCCACTGAAGTTAGTGAAGCAAAGGTCCCGAGAAGTGCTGAGCCCTCTCTTCTCCCACTGATCTTGATATCATCTAGCTCATCCCAGGAATCTGTCCACAGGATGGTTTTCTCTTGAGTAAGCATTTCAGAATTTGTCCCCATGTGTTTTAGTCAAGGGAAAGCAGCAGAACAGGTTTTGACCTATTTAAGGGTGCCTGTTACTCGTGTTCACAGTTTCCTGAAACGAAGCATGCAAGCCACTCCGAAGGCAGAGATGACTTAAGTGACTGACTGCAGACCCTTCGGGTTTTTTTTTTTTAAACCCACTGTAAGCAATGGCTTCCAAGCGCAATTTGGAAAGTTTTGCAAATCAACCATTAAGGGCTTAGATTTCTGTGAAACATCACAGCATTGGTTTTGGCACTGGGAAACCTCCCCTCCTGCCCATCGCACCGCCCCCCGCCACTACATAAGAGCCTTTAACTTTGTTCCCTTAATTAAAGCTGCCACACTTCAGGGTATATAAATATAGATCACTGTTTGGGGGGGAGGAGGAGGTCTACTAGGGTTGGGGGGGAATTACCTTTTCATGGAAGTAGTGATTTTGGTTGGCGCATAAAACAAAACATTCATTTAGAAACACATGGTACGGGACTGTTGATATAATCCTGTATTTCTCTCTCACACACACACACACACACACGCACACACTCTCTCTCTCTCTCATCTATTAATGCATTAAATATAATCTTTTTTGAGAGGCGGGGAAATGCCCCCTTTCTTTTACTTCACATATCCCTGCTATTCAGACTGCACTATTTTAACGCTGCTGAGAGGAAATGGCGTAAATGTTTTCGGAATAAATTCGAAATGTTTTGAGCAAAGAAAAAAGGAAAAAAAAAAAAAAGAGGAAATAATTTAATGCAGCCCCCCAAACAGTCTGAAAGGCACAGTAATTAAATTACAGAAACTGCTTCCAGCCCAGGGGGGAATGCAAAAAAATTCCAGGGATTAAAAACCAGGAGGGAGCAGCAGTAATTTATCTTTTCAGAGGGCAAGTTAAAGGAGTGGGGTGGAAGTACTAGTCACAGATTTTAAAAAGTTTGTGTTTAATGTTTTTGTAACTGCAGGGCCAGTTTTCTGGCTTCCAATCTAACGTTACAGGAGATATGGGGACCACAAATCTTTGAAAGTATCCAAAACCATTTTCCTAATTATTTTTTACACAAATCACTAACCAAATCCCCCTTCCAAAAAAGCTTACTGTAGTTCCACCCATAACTGACCTGTGCTAGGTCCTTTCATGAGCTGTATCAAGCATGCCTCCAGCAGCTAAAGGCAGGAAGCACCTTGGCACACTGCTCTATTCAACGGCTGAACACAGGAAGGGTAGAGCCATTTTTCATGGACAAAGAAAAACAAGACCAGCCCGCAGTTTTGGATCAGACTGAGCGTGCAGGCTAGTTCACCTGCTCTGCTTACAGATTTGGGCCCAAATGTGATACACAAAGCTGACTTTTGCTTACTGAAGCAGCCATTTATACCTATTCATCAAGTGCAGAGATCAGGCTTCCTAATGCGACCTTTGTCTCCTGCCCATAAGCTATGTAGGTGCATTGTTCACTGACAAATGCCCATGGACTTTGGTGGTAGTTTGGGGTGAGACAGGAAGCAATGCCCCAGCAATGTGCATGGCCAAAGTCTGTGAAGCCAGAAAGAAAGTTCAGGAGTAACCAAACCAGTGTTAAAAAGTGAGAGTAATTTGGATTCTTTCCTCCTTCCTTTGACTAACAGGTTTTATGTATTCAGCCCCTGAAATCCTCTGCAGCAATAAGAGTCATATATACAGAGAGAGAGAGAGCAGGCAGATCGCTGCAAGTACAGGTGAGTTTTCCCCCCATGTGCAGTTCGAACAGAAAACTGAGAGATACTTACCACCAAATAAAGCATGGTATAGAGTGAGAAGGAGGCATGGCCAGAGAAAAAGGATTTCCTGTAAGGCAAAGAATGTGGATGAGTAATCCAGCCATTGAAATATTAGCTTGCACTTGTATACTACTGATGAAGGGGCAGGATGGTGACCTGCCTCTTCCGACCCCGTGGAAAGGAACCGATGCCAGGAACACCCTCATTTTCCTGCACAGACTACCCAGGCTATGGCTGACGGAGATGCATTTGTGGGGTTGCAGCTTCCCTCCCATTCAGTCGGGGCATATATTTTTAGCTGCATCGTAACCCTGCCCAAATAACCACTTAATAGAATAAGTGAGTAGCTGGGCAGATTGTGTGAACTGCAATCCCTTTCCAAGCCCTTTCCCGAGGCAACTCAATTATGAACTATGTTATATGCAACTTAGACTGATAATATACCATCTGGTCCCACATGCCCAGGAGTCTTTAAAGAAACAAAGGTAAACACTTATCCACTCGCATTAAGTGCAAGTTGTGTAATAGGTGCCAGCAAAAATCTAACTAAAATATCCAGTGAGCTCACTGAAGACTTTGAAAAAGACATCTTATCCCTATTTACTTTCCAGGGCCATGAAATGTTCTCCACACACAAAGAAGTACTAATTAGCCTGGTGCACAAAGCAAACCACTTACAATTTAATTTGGCCTTTATGGTAAATTCCCACATTGAGCAACAGGTCATGAAATAGCAGAGTAGGAGCAAAAAGAAGGAAGAAGTATCATTCAGCAGAGTTCTGCTGAATAGGGAGCTGCCTGTCCAGGGCCAGTCAAGTTATGGTCTTCCCAAACACGGGGGTTTTCGAATGACCCATTGCTGGCAGCGAATCCACGAGAAATACATTGAGGAACACCATTTTGGCAGACAGACATTTCCCCCCTGCTTTATTTGGCAAGAGAACAGCCCTCACCTGGCTTCCTGGACTTTGCTGTCGCTTCCTCTGCAGGTGTAGTTTTGAATGTAGTAACCTTTATTGCAGTCAGTTTCTGAATAATCTGGATCGCAAACTTCCAGGAAATGAGGTCGCAACCGTCCGACGGACACTTTGGCAATGTCTGTGAAGGACTGGCTGATGGCACAGCCAAAGGCAAAACATCCCACTTGTTTGTACAGAGCTGCCACATACGGGTTCGTGATGAAGGATCTTGACTTCTCCTTCAAGTAGCGGATCCGGTAAAACTCTCCTGTTATGATCTGAGGGAGAAAACAAACAAAAAAAAATTTTTTTTTAAAGGTTTAGAGGGCCATAAAAGTAATTTCCATGAACAGGCCTTGTGATGCAATTGTGCAACCGCACAAGACGATCAGATGGTAGGACAGATGAGCATTTCTCAAGAAAGAAACTGGAAGATCCTGAACTCATTTTTTCAGAGCTCCATTAATTACTGTAGGCTCAAAGCCAAATGCATATTAACACTTCAAGTGAGAAAATTTGGTTTCATACGCAAGGCGGGCATGTTACTGAACGATACATATTTATCCATAAATCCCTCCTTCAAAGCAGGCTCAAGTAATATAAATATTGACAGGAGTCCAAGAATAATTTGCCCATCTGAAAGCTATTAGACGCCATGATATCTCAGAGATGTGATTCTATCTCAGACTGCGTAAAAAGATGCGTTAGTGCATTTGTTTACAGCCAAGAGCGTTGCAAAATGACGTGTTATTATAACCTCTTTCTTTTTTCTCCTCCGTTAGCCTGCAGGTAAACAGGGACATGGCCAGAGATACAAAGAAACTGGTCTAACCTCTTTCCTAGACTTTACCTACCCTATGTAAATGTGTGAGGTGAAGCAGTCATAACAGATCTGAAAACATTTGGCACCACTATGCCAGTGATTGGACAACGTAGTAGTATAAGCACTACGGCTGCGACCCAAACAAATAGCAAGTAATTCCAGATGGAGAACGTTGCCTGAGAAGGGGCCAAGTCCGCAAGCTGAGCCGGAGCGAGACCTATGAACAGCACTGCTCTTACTAATACCAAACCACGGTGGAGTGAAAAATATCCAAGCGCCCCGTTCACCTTGCGTGTGCGTGTGTATGCATCCGTAATGACATGCCTTGCTCCTATGTGGTTGCAGTGGAAAGGAAGCTGCTATGCATAACAGCAAGGGAAATAACCCAGCAGTGTAGCAGTACAGCTCTTTTAAGACATTTCCAGCCGCTTGGTTTCCTTTACACATGAATGATATGCAGCTCGGTCAAGCCAGCTCCCCTGCACTCCACTGGAGACTTCGTATGATGTCCACAGGATCACAGATGGTAGAGACCCCCGGGACACCGTTCTGACCTTCTGTAACCTACTACAGATTTTTCCCAACATTTATAGTATTTTGCTTTACTGATTTTGGTTCTCTTAAGCAATAGGATTCCCAACATATTAAGGGACGCCCCTACACAAGATGTAGCATCGGGGGGCGCACACTGTGACATCGCCGCTATTGCACAGTAGCAATGAGCTCCTGAGCGGTCGGGTCGGAAACAACCTGTGCAGCGCCGGGACTGCGCAGCACCGGCATTTACTGCGCAGCCATTTAGCGCTTGCTTTAGATAAAGCACATGCTAGATGACTGCACAGTAACAACTGTGCAGTGGGGCGCACATGTAGGTAGACATGGCCAAGTAGGAGGCTGTTGTACAGCCTGATCGTCCTCTAATCTTTTACCTAAATTTCCCATTTCTCTCTATCCCTTCCACAATTCAAGGCCAATAATTCCTGGAATGCTGTTACTGAACTGGAGTGGCTCATAAAAGAAAATGTGAAGCACTTCAGATTTTTTTAAATATATTTTCATATCTTGAAAAAAAAAAAATGTAAAAGGCCAGATTCTCAACGTTTTCAGAATCTCGCCTAAAATTTGCAGTGACCGGACCCAATTTAAATCAAACTATGCTTCTTATAAACACGTGCTATTTCTGGAAATGTCAGCGGTCCTTGTAGTTATTAAGCAGCAAATTACGTATTTCTTGTGCCACTTGAAGGGGGAGTGTTGCAGATTTGACAATGTTGCCATAAATCACAGTTATGAACCAGAGGGCCTGGCTTCTTGTAATCCTAACTCCTAAAAGGCAGTTTAATGAAAATCAGGCTGTGAAATGAAGTCCAAATGTCTCACCTCTCCAAAAGAGGCAAAGGCTTAAATTGTTCTCCGTCACGTTACGCACCTAGTTTTTGAGCCCCAGATTTACAACTTTAGGATTTTATTCATTACTTTAAATGTTTTTATACCTGAGTAATAAAGTGAGGTGTTTCTTTCCCTCCCTTCCTCCCCCTTCCTTTCTAGTCAGCAGCATTGTGATATGTAAATTTAACTGTCAGGAAGAATGCCTTCATGTTAATCCCTTTCTGAAACAGCCAGCAATATTTTTCACAGCGTGGCAGCCTGCCAAATGCACGGAGGAGAGCACTCTCCCCTTCTTACCTTTTTAAAAAGCTTGGCACAACATTTGGAAACTAATAAACTGGAAAAGTATTGCAATCAGACTAAGAGGGGATGAAATTGTATCATTGTTTGAACTCTCTGGTACTGCGGCTTGCAAAAACAACGGTTGACCTAAAGCAGTTGAAATGATAGCTAAGCGGGCTTAATCAAAAGGAAGGTAAATAATAAGCATAACGAGAGCTTATAGCACCGTGTTTCTTAGACAAATACATCAGGGCCATTGAACTGCTATCAAGAGTTTAAAAGGCACAGGCCCACTATGCACACAAAATGAACGTGAAGTTCCCTATGGCCTTGACCGATGGATGTCTAGGGGCTTTCGGCTAACCTGTTCCAGCATCACTTGTAATCCCTGGAGAATGGCTGTCTACAAGGTGGTTCGTCTACATTTTGGACTGTCTTCAAATGCAGGCTGAGAGCCAGGAAGGGCGCTTGCAGGAGGCCTGAAGAAATGCCCGAGCAACGAGCAGAACACAATTCATTTGTATCTCCCAAGGACATAGATGATTTCTCATTGCCTTTTGGAGTCAGCTCCTCTCTCTACTTCAAAATCTCTCCGTGTTTGCTCATTTGTCTGAAAACGAGTGGTTGGAGGATTCCCTGCAGGCTTTGTGGGCGCTCAGGAATCTGGTTTTCCCCCAAACAGGCAAAGAAACAGCCTGTGGGCTGTGCCACTGTCAAAGTGAAGGTGTGCACACTGCAACCGCATTGCAGAAGGACGTGTGGCCCCAGCGGCTGGCTGCCACTTTCTCTGAGTGCCGGGCATGTATCACTATGCAGGGGAAAGCTGCCAGGCTCACAACTAGTAGCCACTGGCGAGAGAAAGCAAATTGAATTAAGGATGACATATGACACCAGCGGATGTCCCCTTACTCTCAGAGTTCACAAATGGATCCCCTTAAACCTTAGGCTCCTGCCCTGAGAAAGACATGTGACTGGTTTAAACGGGGACCAACAAAGTCCAGGGATTAATATTTTCTCTCACTGTTGGTGGTCTTGGTAATTGCACAGATGTAGCAGATTGTAAATTGGAGACTTCGGTCCCCCACTAACACACTGCTGGGCAGTCATGACCCCTCCTCACTTAGTTAAAATCATGGCTGAACCTTAATGAGAAGCTAAAATAGGGCAAACTTGTTTTTTGGCGGTGCTGTCCCTGATAAAGAGGGACTTAGGAAACTAATTCAGCACAGATGTGCGCAAACTGAAACTTCATCCTGGAAAAACAAGTCTTAAAGATATTGAGCTGCTCTTCGGACTGGTGTCTCCACCAAGCAATTTGCATGCGGGGTACAGCGAGTTTCTCAGTGTGAATTTTTGGAAGCAGGCAAGAAAGTAAGGCAGTAGTCGCAAACAAATATATAACTTCAAGGAACACTTACGCACGCTTTCTGAGCTGCGCTGTGCAAGTTTTGTATGCCGTTATCATCCATTATCCAGTTACCCTGGTAATTACTCTTTTGGGATCCTTCTATTCAGTTCTGTCTCTAACACACTGTTTTCCATGTCTAACCTAATGGGGGTATTTCACATTTAAATATAAAGCATCTGGTTATCTCCATGTATATTTTTTATAATATAGCTGAGCTAGGAAAATCAGTCTGGTTGGGTTGTTTCCAAAAGCTGTCAAGATCTGTCAAGGACATGGGATTGGGCCTGAACAACACAGTGATCGATCGGGGGACTCGGGAAACGGAATAAAGTGCCCTTCACCTTTAGCTCAGTGGTTCATAGGTGAGCTTAGCTGGAAATAACTGATAGTTGTTACCATTCAAGGACAGTTTGAGTGGCCTAGGAGAAAAATGCTTGTGGTCACTCGATCTCAGGAGGTATAATGCGTCCTTGTTGAGAGGGCTACCACAAAGCTTGCCCACCACTCAAGGCACGGTTTTGATGGCCCTATACTGCATAGTCGTTGTGATATCCTCTGCACGGGATGAATTTTATTCCTGGTGAACAACTGCCCCAGCCTTGTGAGCAGCAAGGACAGAAAGGTCGAGACCTGAACAGGAATGAATGAGTTTCTCACTTATCCTGGGAGTCCCTCAATAAGTGGCTGGAGGCTCACAGGTTGGTATGTGGGGAGATGCTTGCATTATTGCTGTGTTTGCCATGGCTACTATGGGGATAAAGGGAAATCCTGAGTTTCCAAGAGGTTCAAAGAAAGCATTTTCTCCAAAAGGAAAAGCACTCAGTGGAGGTCTGGGAGCAGAAACCCTAGGGGCAAACTAGTATCTCAGAGGCTGTATCAGGGATAACTTCAAGGTCAGAATTTGGCACCCAGTCAGTAAATATGTAGGCACTGAAAACAAATGCGGATCCCCCTATGTCCTGCAAGAGCCAAAGGTCTTAGCCTTTGAAGTTTATTTAACAAGAACTCTGGGCATCTTCAGACCACTCAAAACATAACCTGGACCTTTCGCTCTGGACTAAAGACAGTACCAGTGTCACCCTTTGAAGCAAAAAGGTCAGGGGGCGGGAGCGGGGAGGTGGGTTTGCTTACTCTTCCAAATTCCTCCTTCTCAGACCCCCTCGACTCTAGTCATGGCTTTGAAAGGCAAACATTTCAACCAAAAGGAGAGAAATCAGTGCTTTGTGGATTTGGAAGGAATTCATATTATGCTACAGTAATTCTGGTATCTGGGTTACATCTGAAAAGGAGGTCGGAATGACTTGAATTTTCCATATATTCTGCCATAGCGAGGAATCTGTTTCTTCCATCACTTGTTAGCCATTTATACCGCTCAACAGCAAACAGCTGCGCGTTTCTATTTTCCTTACCAAGTTACTTTTGTTGTGGGTGCTGGGAAACCTATACAGAAAACATCTATTTCTGTCCGGGCTACTTCTGGGGGGTTTTTTTTCCCCCCTAACTGACCTGCCATTTCATGTTAGAAAACTTATGGATTAAATAGTCAGTTGATTATATTTCCAGTTTTGGTTCCAGCTCCCGTCTTTGCCACTGGCTTACTGCTGATCAGAAGCAGATTCTGTGTGGAGCCGACATGATGGTATGTCAGGCAGTAATGTGAAAATGAGAGGGTTTCTCATTTTATTTTATGGCTTTTCCAAACTCGGGGGTAATTCACCTGCAGGATAAAATTCCTTCATGTTTACTAATTTTTCACTTTTTTTTCCCCTGAGCAAACAGACAGCAAGTTGTTGCTGAGGGCTTTTTTGCATGTGGCCGAATGAATCCACTGGATAGGCAAATAATGGTTGAAATCTGGCTTCGTGTACTCTCTAGCTGCAGGAAACCTGATAGTGTTCTAGGAAATGAAGAGAAGAAAGCCAAAGGATGAGTTGGAAAGGGAATCAGCCACCTGTCTGGCAGACCAAACAAAACAGATATCCTTGACCCATGTCCCTGTGAGTACCCCTTGGCATGAGAGGGAATGCCACTGAGAGGGCCTGAGCTATAATTTACAAAGCAGATGACAGCACAGCACTGCTGAAAGGCTCAGATGGACTTTCAAAGGTTTCTTCCAAAAGAAAAATCTTACAGGGCAAACTTCTTCCTGTGAGGGTCGGCACAAGAGACTAAGCTGGGATGCTCTGCCAGGTCCTTCCCTTACGGCTTGCAAAGTCCTGGGGAGGATTCACCAGATTCATTAACGTGACAATGGCAGAGGGGCGGTGACTGCCAGGGTCCCAATTTCCCTATGAAAAGGACCTCGGAGTACAAGGAACGGCCAATTTATGTGAACAACTGCTTGCACAACCAGGGCGGGTGTGAGGCGATGGTGTGAACCTATAGGCATCATTTCATCCTAAGAGCAACAGCCGCTTTATTGCTTCTAAGACAAAGGAGAAGCAAGGGAGCCTAACTTCATTTCTGTCCTTTTAACTTCCCCACCTGCTTTAGCTGGCAGAACCAGGAGAACAACAATACCCTCAGGGAAACACCTGAGGACTGCCTGCAGCAGGTGTAAGGGAAACTTTGTGACTTTTCATAAATGCTGGGGGATTTCCAATCCAGATAAAAATGCCTAAATCAAATGAAGGGCCAGATTTTCCATTCTGTGCTCTGTGCCAGACCAAGGGGAGGTTGTGGGAAGAAGGCAGTTCAAAGCAAACTCTGACCCCACCCCTAGTCCTGAGGGAGCTTGAGCCTGGCACCCAGGTAAATCAAAGCAGCCTCAGCACTGCTTTAATTAATGCCGGCAGCAATGAATCCTTGGGACTCCTTGTTGCAGCTGGGGGTGCAAAGACTTCTGCCCGTGCCCACATCCCTCTGCGGTGAGAGTGGGAAAGATAAAGAGGGTGGCATAAACCTAGGTCCATGTCAACTTGTGCCCCACATCCAAGTTATCCCCATTGGTATCATGATAATAGTGCCAAAGGGCAAGAGAAGGGGTCAGGGATCTGCCACATTCAGAGGAGTTCTTTTATTTCAGTGAAAAGTGGAACTTCACTTCCCGGTGGCGGTAGAGAAGCCAGTTGAAATTCAGTAATACTTCATCGGGGTGATGCTGTCGGACCCCCCTGGGATCTGCTTGGGCCACTGTGTTTTCCTTAAACAAAGTATGGATGCAAGACGGCGCCACGCAGCTGACTCTGCCAGGGCTGTGCTTGGCCCATCAGCTAAACCAAAACGTGCTCACACAAAGCGTAATCCCTCAGCACAACAGTGGGAAATTTGATATGAAAAAAGAAATCAAAAGGGATTGAAAAGATGAGACAAGATCACAGCCATAGAAATAGCTGTTTCTTCTGGTTAAAAATCTGGATAAACCTTTCCCCCCCCACCCCTGTAGGTTTAAATTGCCCTTTAATATATGTACAGTTTACTATGTGTTAAAACCTAATGCTACCTTTGAAACTTTTCCATGCAGTGGTTGCCTGCAAAAGCACAGCCTGCTTTTTCTAAAAAAAAAACAACTGCGTGAAATATGGAATAGGTAAATACCACAGGAATTACTCGAATTTGGATGAGACATGCCAACTCTGTATTGACACTGAATCATTTGCTTCTATAGTGCATACTTACTGGAAGGTGAGCTAGATCTTAAGCTGGGGAGTTTCTAAGTCTTGCCCAAGCAGTTTTTTTACTCGTTTATAAGCTTCAGAAGTCATCTTAAGTCTTTCCACTGTCAGTTTTCGTTTGCACGTTTGCCGAGTCTCGCTCGCGATGAACGGCACAGGACATTTACACCTCATGGCGAGTGCAATACACATCCCTACAACTAAGCTCCCCCACATTGCCAATCCGGCGTGGAGAAGACGGCCTGCACCGGGACCACAGCCCGGGTCTCTACAGTTCCAGTCCATTTCCTGTTCAAGTCAACAAGAGCATCCCCACTGACTTCAATAAGAGCTGCACCAGACGTCACGGCTGCTCGAGTCTTTGCTTCGATGGTCCATATGCATGACTGTGCTTATTTGCAGAATGTTTTTGCGAGCCCGAGACATTTTGTACAAATTCAGCTAATCAGCTACTAATTACCCCGCTGATTATTAACTACCGATGAATTTCACAAAAATCAATCAATCAATCAATCCACCAGTGTGTCTTCAATAACAATGGATTTTACATCTGAACAGCTGACCTCGAGGTGAAAGGCTCCCTCTCCTATTACCAATCCCTTAAGCCATCCTTTCATGTTATTGGGGGCGCAGGATTTTTCACTTGTTCAAAGCAAAGTCCTAATTCTGCATCCTCACCAAGGACTTCCGAAGGAGAGATTTTCTGGCGCAGCTCTTTTGTGTGGGCTGCCTGAGCTATTTGCAGCCAAGTGCTAACAGTGTTCAATTAAGGATTAAGTCGGCGTGTAGGACAAGACGAGGATGCTACAGCATCAAAACAGTTGCATGGATTCATTTTACTTACAGCAAGGATGGCAATGAGAATGCCTGCAGCGCAGAGCACAGCGTCGTTAATTGTCTCGCCTGTTTTCAAGGGGTATTTGATGCTCTCGTCGTTACAGTAGAACCCCCGCTTATACGGTGGAATCGTGCTGGTTTCAATGATCAGGAAGGGCAAGCCAGCTAATCGGGGGAGAAGAAAATAAAAGAGAAAAGAAAAAAACCCAGCATCAGTAACGTGGAGAAATATGAATGAGCTGAGCAAAAAGAACCCGAGGAAAACAACGCAGCACAGCACTGATGTTACTTTTCTGATCCGTTTCCAGTGTTAGGAATTATTTTTACTAAGTTTCTCCCGGGATAACCTATGGATATTAGATGCACATGCTGCCTAGTCCCAGTTAAGTCTTGCACATTGCAAATATTAACTTACAGGAATGAATGCCAACAGCATCCCCCACACCCTGCCAGAAGCAATGGAAAGGAATGTGATGCTATTCTCTACAGAGGGCTTGATGCTATAAATACAACACCAAAATGTCTTTCTCTCGTGACATGCTGCAGGAGGAGTTACTGTATAAGCAAGCAGGGAAATATCAGGATTTGGTAAGCTCAATCTATACTACCTTTGATACTATATTAAAAAAAAAACAACCCCAAGCTGTTTTAACATGGTCTGTATTTATTTGTATCTAAGCAGGTTTCCAATACAAGCTTGCTGGCTGGTAGGAGAAGGTACATATATAGACATCCACAGAGCTATCTTTTCTTATTCTGAACGCTAACTGGACCAGCCACAATGGCCGGTGAAACCATATCCGTTTCAATCCAGCTCTTAACAAGTGTGGACCACGTGAAATCTGTTTTTGAGCACTGTTTGTAACCTAGGGGATAAAAGACATCCATTTCTACATCTTCACTCTGGGTGCATAGTACAGGCAACCCCCACTTAACGCTGTTTCCCTTAGCCCTATTTCACTATAAGGCTCATTTGTAATTGATACCTGGCTCCACTTAGCGCTCAGTGAGTTTCGTTATAACGCTCGCGGTCGCCATGTCGTCAAAAACTTTCAGTTTTGCTTAACGCTCGGGTTTTCAGGAACCAATTAAGAGCGCTAAGTGGGGGTTGCCTGTACATCCCATCACAACCAAAGAGAAACTGGTTGTGACACAAGCCAACAAAAGAAAGGTCACTGCAGCTGTTCCACATGTATAAGGCAACTGTTGCCACAATATTATAATACTATTTCAGAAAAATGTAGCAGTGTCTCCAAGTTAAGAGTAGGGGACTGGATAGCCAAGTCCACTACATGATCGTGGGCAAGGCGGTTAAGGCTCTATGTGCCTCAGTTTCCCCATGTGTTTTGCCACTGACTTAAATAATGGCACATCTGATGCAAGAGGCTCCTCAGACTCTCTAATTCTTACAACTGGTCTGGACAGATGAACAATGACATTGTGTTCAGCGCTGGGGCAGGATTTACTGGGCACGCATGCAGGTGAGCAAATTCATCATACCTGTTCCAGCGCACCTCTCCTGCACTAAGTGAAACCAAACTACAGTGAATTACCCCTGAATGAAAGTGGTAGTGAAATACTGCTGTTTAGCTGTATTCAATGGATAGATGAAACGGTAACAGCAGACTCATGCCCCACCTGCTTTCCAACATCTGATATGCCTATGCCCAAACACATTCACAATCTACATTTACAGGGAAAACGTTTCCCATCTGTGAACTGCAGCCCAGTTGAGACAAAACCAAAACAGTCTTAATAGTGTACAGCCACACTACACAACGGGCTAGTAGAAACCCCTCAACTACTTCTGCCTGAAACTACAGGGGGAACTCATTTAGTTAAGAAAATGTAATTACCCCAGGCGGCATTTGGTCACAACACCATGAATAACACCTATACTGTTGCAACAAGGGTCACAGGATATTTATTGACCACTAAAAGGGTTAAGAGTCTGTGGTTTGTGTTTACACTCTTGCCACTTTTAAATGATCGGATTTGTTTCTTTGAAATTAAGAAACGTCGCTCATTGGTTTTGACTTGATTTGCCCAGAGCAAATTTTTACAGTTGTCATAAACAACTATGCTGTTAATTAGCAAGGACTTTGCCCAGACGGACAAAATTAAAGTGTTGTTCTAAAAATGTTTTCCATTTGCGTGTAAATAACGTATTTATTTTTTGTAAACCATTTTGAAGTCCCTTCATCTCGTTTTAACAGATTTGCCTAATCTATAGTTATGACTTTTTTTCTGATAGCCTCAAAGAGAAGCAATCTGTCATGTGAAACATTTAACTCTGTTCTGTACACACACATACAGAAATAAGGCTGAACTGTCTTCTCAGTCGCAAGGCTATAACGGAGACCATAAATTAACATACTGCTTCAGAATATCAAGCACAATTTTCTCTAAAAATACTGGAAATTGGTGAGAGTAAACACACAGATTCAGGCTCTGTAAAATGGACAATCTGTTTTGCTCCAGCTCATCTTCATTCCACTACCTAAACGTTTTGAAACCCAGCCAACTTGGCCCTGAAACATCTCTCTTAAGCCAGCAATATGATATTAATAGGCTACTTGAAAAATCCTTAGTTTCCCAATGAAAAATTGCAACAGCAAAGCTAATGCTGCTTGGTGCGATCCAGTTTCATACCCACTTGAAGCACCCGTAACAACAGTTGAACACTTGGGGAGTAGACATACCATAGTTACGTGGCTTATTGTTATTTTTCCAGTTCCTCTTTTTAATAGCTTTCACATGACAGGTCTGTAAAACACATGTTCCCACAGACAATAAAATAGATCTGAAAGCTAAAACTGACTTTAAAAAAAAGAAAAAGGACAATGGTGTTCCTGTGCATTATGTGAACCCTGGAATAATAAAGATTTGTTTTTCCTTCATTCATTGAACAGCATGGGGTAGTATTTCCGCGTTTCAATTATATGTATGATTGCCACAGCTATAATAAGAGCATGACTGGCCTATACTGTGTATGTTTTCTTAAAATGCACATAGGCATAGTTTAGAAAAGCTAATGGTTTTGTTTTCTCTCCTACAAACTTGTGGTTTAGCGGGATATTGCCAATCGAGTCTTGACATTTTTCCAGTCGAACAGTAACCTCAGATCCCCCCCCACTCTTTTTTTTTGAGATTAGAAACATAAACATATCCTCAATAGTTGAACGGATACTGCTTAGAAGACATAACATACCCTGGGGTTAGAGGCTGCTCTTTCAACTGTAATTATCCAAGTGACAGAAGACACCCTTCTTGTACTGAAGAGAGTGGCTGCCAGATACCAGGCTAAAGATAGCTCTTCTTCCAAGAGGTTATCTCTCAGTCACTTAGACAATCTGTGCTCAGTGTCATCACCGACGCTTTCTGGAACCGACTCACTTTCTGATGACGGTTAAGTACTGAGGTTACAACCCAGGGCAGCTTGTACTGGTGCCAGCAGCCACCCAAGAATGGGTTTTGCAGAAGAAATGAAAATCTAGAAGAACGCAGAAAATGAAGAGAAGGGAAAGGCCCTTTTAGGATCCCTTAGGAAGACATTATAGGGTATCATCTTATTTTGGCAGAAAGTTGAACCCCAGATCCCTTCCGTCTCCCTGCCAAGCCCAGAACCACTGCCAAGTCCTGCCCACTCAGTCCCAGCTCTGCTCATGCCCAAACCCAGCAACCAACATGGCTTAGAGAGGTCCTGAGCACAGGCTCCATTTCTCCATCCCGGTGCCGATATAAAGAGAGCGAAAGGCAAGCCCAAATCTTGAACTTGGGAGGTTTGCATAGATGCTTTCACCTGCACAACAATGAATCTGAGAACTGAATCTGAGATCTGGCCATCCTCCTAAGACAAGCACATTATCAAATCACTCACCACCCCTGCTTCACATTCCTGTATGATAAGTCCAGCAGTCCTAAGAGTAACAAAAGCAAAGGGCGCAGCTAGTAGAAAACAGTTATGAGAAAAGAATACACATTAAAGCAGCAGCGGGCAATTATTTTGGGCAGAGTTTTGGCAAGCCATTGAGGGCTGCATGACAGGCAGCCAGGGACAGATACGTATTGATTTCCTAAATTTTTTAGGGCCCCCCACAGGCAGGATAGAATGGCCTGGCGGGCCGCATCCAGCCCGCGGGCCACATTTTGCCCACCCCTGCATTAAAGTGACTGGTTATTCTATGCAGCAGGCAGAACAACCCAGAAAGCAGAAAATTATAGCCAGGGAGTGGGTCACTCTACCCAAAAGCCATCTCTGGCAAGTGCTTTCATCCATTAATTGAGTTTACTATGCTTTCAGTTCCACTGGACATCCTGAGGTCCATGCATCTTTCCTCTATTACTCCTGCAGCAGAAAGAGATCATGGTCTCACTGATGCTAACAGCTTCTTCCCGGATGCCTAGTTCATGGTCTGCAGACCATATTTAAAGGCCTCGAGGCAACATGACTTCACCAGTGGATGAGCACTTTGTTCCTCAGTTGGTCCGTGCAATGCCCTTATATGACAGGGAATGCCGCTATCCCACACAGAACGTCAAATCTGAACCACAGAGAGTTTGTACAACAGATTTCTGGATGAGCTGGGAAATTCAGCTAGTTCTCAAGATTCTTAGTTCAAAACGTTAACTGCAAGATCATCCTAACCTGTGAAGGGTGTTTTTATCCCCAGATGTACAAAAAGGGTTGCTAAAGTGACAAGGCACTGCTGAATTCTCAGTGCTATACCCTTGATTTAGATACGCAGTGAAACGGGGCAGTCCAGCGGGTGGCTCACAAGGGGTTGTTGCAGCCTGCAGGGCTTGTCAGTGAAGCTGTTGGAGCTGCTACGTAGGTGGGCCTCCAGAAACCAGGGAGTGAAAGCCACTCCTCACCCCTGCAGACCTTTGCCCAATGCTGAATTTGGGGTCTTCGGTCACCACTGGGAACTCAAATCAGCAGCGGATAAGCCCTGTGATCTGGAGCTGGCCTGCAGAGCCAAATGGACAGCCCTGTGATCTTTTGCTCCAGACCACAAGCAGAAAAGAAACCTCTTTGAAGCCAGAATCTGCACTTCTGAAATCAGTAGGAGTTTCTCTATTGATTTCATCTATAGTTGGATGAGACTTTGGGAGAAGGGCAGTGTGAAGCAGGTGTGGATATTAATGAATCCTGTTAGGTACTA